CCTCTTTTGGAAGACCAAACAAAGTAGTTTCGCTTTCACAACGAAACACACAGCGCCTTCACGACATGGCGGTGGCAACAACAATACTACTGCGAGAATAAAAGTTATGCCTTCTTTCTTTGCGTGAACATTTGGGCTGCGTTATGCAAATCTTCCCACATCGTGATGTAGACATGTGGGGGCGTGTTAGAACGAGCCGTTTTAGGTAGGTGTGGCTGACTCTTAACTTTTATAAAGAATATCTCTTTGGATTTGAGACTTTAGTCTTTGCAACTTTACAGATCTTCTTTATGCACCAAGAGCTTGTAACACTCCAAAGAGAAAGGAAAAATTTAAATCGCATCATATGACCCCTTTAAATTAAGACTATTCACCATAAATAAATTGTCAGCTTTTCTTCGGGGCAAATGGCTCTATGTCTGTCTTCTCCTTTGTGAGCAAACAGAGTTCTCTTCAGCCAGACGTACCGCTGGAAATTGACCTTATCCAACCCCAGCTCTCACACCAACCAGCGGTCTTCACCATGTGGGCTGTGGGCCTGAATGATTCTGTGAACCCAGATAGCCTGAGGCTTGTGCTCTGGCCAGACAGAGATACTGTAGCCACAGTGGCATAGAGCATGCATTGTTTCTATTTTAATCCATGCACTAATTTCATGTAAATACAATCTTTCCTTCCAGGATATTTTTTTATATTTTTCCTTTCCAATATTTTTATTGGCTGTTTATTAGTACTTATAAAGGACATATTCTGCATGACCATATTCTACATCCCTAATCCTAAACTTAACAACTACCTTACTAACTATTAATAAGCAGCAAATTAGGAGTTTATTGAGGCAAAAGTCGTAGTTGCTGGTTTGTTAATAGCAACTAACCTTAAAATAAAGTGTGAGGAAATCTTCTAAGTTCTTAAACTAACAATGACTATGTTTACATGCACCCTCAAAATGTGATTACAATGGGATTTTGGCAAAATTGCAAGTAAACTTTATCTGAAGTAAATAATACTTCGATCAAGCTGATGCGATTAAGCTCATAATCATATTAAAATATGTGGTGTATGCTGATTTCGCAATAAATAGGCAAGTAAACACCTTAATTGCATTATTTCTGACCAAAGTGCTCAGACGTGCACAGATGACGTGTGTTGTTCACACTAATTCATGTATGAACTCTGTGACATTCAGATGTTTTCCATCCACTCTGAATGGCTGAACTCTGTCAACACAATTCAACACAACTCACCGCCACTAGTCGTGAGGAACACGATGGCAGCGTAAGCAAACCCAGTTGCAGCAGCATTGCTATCACACTTCTATGTTCAGCATGGCACTGAATAATTAGCCAATACGTCCATAGAAATCTATTTTGCATTTGACATAAGCAGATTAAAACTGGCCATAGTAACACTCCCACTGTATGTGATTATGAGCACTGTGGTATGTGAATAATGGCGGTAAAAATAACCACATTTCATAGCAAATAATTACAATTGAGTGAGTCTTGCTCATGTCAAACATCTAATTGCAATTAAGTCCTTAGTCTGATTATGGGAAACAATTGCATTATTGGTGCACATGATAAACACAGTCTGTGTCGTTGTTTTTGTCCTGTGGCATTGTGAGGAATGGTCCTATCGTCCCTAGTGTGTTAAAAATGTAAAAGAATGGATGACCAATAATTTTCTCCTATTAAATTCAGATAAGACAGAGATATTACTTATTGGACCAAAAGACAGTACACCGAATCTCGTGGATTACAATTTGCAACCATCAGTGGTTGGGTGAAAAGTAAAGAAAGTGTAAAACTGTGTGTGTGTGTGTGTGTGTGTGTGTGTGTGTGTGTGTAGCATATAGAGTAAGGCCAGTGCAAGCTGTCATACTTTTGACTTAAAGAGGCAGCCTGCAGTCTGGAAACACAACACTCACTGGATAAAAGATCTATTGTGAGCTTCAGCAGTCTGTAAGGAGACAAAGCAGCATTGTCTCTCTCTCTCTCTCTCTCTCACACACACACACACACACACACAGTCTAAGATGTGGTCCATCATTACAATGCTAAAGAACCGAAAAACAACAGGAGGTGTAGAGAGCTGCGATGGAGTAAAGTGAAAGAATGAATCAGATGCTTAAACAGAGAATACAAGCGACTAACCTTCTGCATTGCTCTATTCGTGCTCCATAGCCATTGGCTATTCTGAGTGTTCTCCCAGCATGCTCTCTGATGTAGCCCAAATTTCACTGCCAGGATTCCCCATGGCATTACACAAGCAAAGACTGCAGTTTCAAAAGTAACAAGAGGCTCATTTCATCAGTTAGGAAACATGCATGTCCCTGGACAAATCTAATAATAATACAAAGACAGGGGCTGGGTAGCATTATAGTGTATAAATGTTCGATATGTATTCTGCTATAGTGTTTAAACCACAGTATATACAGCTTAAGGAAAAAACAATGGTCACTGGATTTATAAAATAACAGAAAAAAGATCTGCACACTGTTATTCTCCCTTTACTCAAAAAAGTTAAAAAATAACAACGTTTCGGTCAAAGACCTTCATCAGGCAAACACGCAAGTACTCAGATTCAAACAGAGTTCCAAATGATTACACCTGTTAGTAATCAAAGTCAATCATGTGAACAACTATAGTATATCACATTTAAAACAAGACAACCACATTGAGGCAAAAATTTAAATACAACCACAATATCAAAAAAATCCCCAACAAACTTTTTATAATTCTCAATTACTTGTCCTAGAATTAATCAATGCATAACTTTACAACACATACAGTGGGGCAAAAAAGTATTTGCTGGGTAGCATTATAGTGTATAAATGTTCGATATGTATTCTGCTATAGTGTTTAAACCACAGTATATACATCTTAAGGAAAAAACAATGGTCACTGGATTTATAAAATAACAGAAAAAAGATCTGCACACTGTTATTCTCCCTTTACTCAAAAAAGTTAAAAAATAACAACGTTTCGGTCAAAGACCTTCATCAGGCAAACACGCAAGTACTCAGATTCAAACAGAGTTCCAAATGATTACACCTGTTAGTAATCAAAGTCAATCATGTGAACAACTATAGTATATCACATTTAAAACAAGACAACCACATTGAGGCAAAAATTTAAATACAACCACAATATCAAAAAAATCCCCAACAAACTTTTTATAATTCTCAATTACTTGTCCTAGAATTAATCAATGCATAACTTTACAACACATACAGTGGGGCAAAAAAGTATTTAGTCAGCCACCAATTGTGCAAGTTCTCCCATAATAAGCTTCTCTTTTTAATAAGATATTGTTTACATCACCACCTCTCCTAGGTACTTTAACATGTTCAATTCCAATATACCTAGTACAAACGAGACTGTATCAACAATCATTCACCTTTAAATACAAAAAATATATATCAATTAGAAACATGAGTTAAAGTTAAGCTCTAAATTCAAACCCTTAGGGCAAAGAATATTTAGTGTATAAATATAATAAGCTTCTCTTTTTAATAAGATATTGTTTACATCACCACCTCTCCTAGGTACTTTAACATGTTCAATTCCAATATACCTTAGTGTGGAAAGGTTATGCCTTTTTTAATTAAAATGTACTGCTACCAGGTTTTTTTTAATAATTTGTGCATATACTGCTTCGATGTTCTGCAATCCTAGTTTTTAAAGCACGTTGTGTCTTTCCTATATAATCCAACCCGCATGGACATTTTATCATATAAATAACATTTTTAGTAGTATGTGATGACACCCTTAATTTTAAACTCCCTTCCTGAATGAGGATGAGAGAAGACATTCGTTTTTGTAGTGAAATTACACTGGGCACATGACCACAACTATAGTTACCCGAAGGGATAGATAAAAAATGAGTGGGTCGTTCTACAGATAAACTAACATCAGCTCTTACAAGGAGATCACGTATATTAGGAGAGCGTTTATACACAAACCTTGTGTTTTTTTCCAAATCTCCTAACTGCAGACTGTATCCAATCTTCATTGTAACCTCGCTCCATAAATCTGTTAACCAGATCAGTGCTTTGTTGTGTATATGACTGTTCAGTACTACAAATTCGACGTATCTGGTTAAATTGACTAATGGGCAAGCTACGTTTCAAAGTTGTAGGATGGTAGCTCTGTCCATGCAAAAGTGTGTTACGATCAGTGGGTTTTCTGTAAAGGTCTGTGATTATTTTTTTGCCATTCCTAATAACACCAATGTCCAGAAAACTAACACACGAATCATCATAATTAACTGTAAAATGTAAATGTTCATCACTAGTGTTAAGAAAACTGTGAAATTGTAGCAGTTGACTTTCAGTACCTGACCATAACATAAAAATATCATCAATATACCTTCGCCAAATTACAATATTTCAGAGAAATCAAACCGTAATCAAAACGTAAGTACAATGTATTTATTGTGTTCATATTGTATCGCAAAACACTTCTGCTGCTACTGAGGTGCATATGGGTAAGGTTAGGGACAGGTTTGGTGGTATGGGTTGGTTTAAGGGTGGGTTAAGGTGTAAGTGATGGGTCAACAGTGTAAGTATACATGTAATTACAGACATTAATTACAGATGTTATTATGCAGGTTTTTTTCTAAAATATAACTACAATGTAAAAGCAAAGCACTCCGATGAAGTGAGGCCTGTTTCCAGAATTGTCTATCCAATATTCTGTCGCCCCCGCGAAAGCCCCCTGTCTCCAGATGAACTCCACCCTCGTGGAGAGTCCTGAACCCAATGGAGAGCCCGGCAATCTCATCTGACTACACAGTGTTCCAGGATATCTTCAGCCAACAGGCAGCCACCCATTTACCCCTGCATCGGCCATGGGACTGCGCCATTGACCTGCTACCTGGAGCCACACTACCCAAAGGTCGAGTCTATTCACTGTCTATCCCGGAGCGCAAGGCACTGGAGCATTATATCAAGGAGCCTCTCCAACAACGGGTTCCTTCACCCAAGCTTATTCTTCATGGGCAAGAAGGATGGAGGCTTGCAGCCCTGCATTGACTACCAGACCCTTAACACGCAGACCGTCAAGCTCCCCTATCCACTTCCCCTAGTCCCGGCTGCCCTTGAGGAACTCCGTGGAGCTCACATCTTCTCGAAGCTGGACCTGCGGAGTGCATATAACCTTGTTCGAATCCGGGAGGGCAACGAGTGGAAGACGGCGTTCATAACCCTCTCAGGCCACTATGAATATCAGGTGATGCAGTATGGCCTAGCCAACTCACCGTCCGTCTTCCAGGGGTTCATGAACAAGGTTTTCCGGGAGTTTCTCCACCGATTTGTCATATTGTACATCGACGACATCCTGAAATACTTCCGGAACCTGCATTGTCCACAAATCTGTCCAAATCCGTGCCAGTGAGCACCCCTCCCCCGCCGAGACAACCCATCCACCCCACAGGCGCGGCACATCAAGACGCTGACCAGACAGCATGACCACTGCACAGGTGTGCCCCAGGCTGGCCACAACAAAAGGCCACACCAAAATGTTGATTTAATTTAGTTAATAGAAGTTAATTGATAAAGGAAATGTATTTATGACATTATTTTGACAGCACCCTCATTTTACAGCATTTTTACATAAGTGCCTAAAACTTTGAACAGTACTGTAGCTTTGCAGGTAGGTTTCTTGAAGCAGAAAGAAGTTCTTCTGTTATTCCAGACAGACTGGATGATGATCAGATCAGATCTCTGTGTGGAGCACTGGCTTTTGTCAGACAAAAATCTCACTGGATTATTACAATTAATGGCACAATGAATGTTTGAAAATGTAAAGTGATATTTCCAACTGACACACTACAGCAAAAATAGAAATAACTGACTTAAAAACATTTTTTAGTGTTCTAATAATTTTGGCCACCACTGTATGTTCCAAGTAATACTTTAAGAATACTTAAAGTACAATAAAGTAATAAGTAATAATAAAGTACAGTCATTGAATATGAGTGCCTATTGGATATATGTGTAACAAAGTTCGTAGTCATGGGAAGAAGGAGGCGGGATCCGGCGAACATTCAAATAAAACGTTAATAATAAAATAAACACAAAACAGAGCGACAGCCCCTCGCGGACGACTGTCGTGCACAAACAAAACCAAAACACAAAATAAAATCCAGGCCTGGTCCTCTCTCGTCCAACACGGTCGCCACTCCTCCCTTTTATCCTTCCGGAGCTCCTCTGTGAGACTCGAGACCGGTGAGTGGTGCAGGTGTCGCTCATTAGCAATTACTCCACCGGCCTCGCTCCATTTCCACGGCTCTCGGCCCCGCCCCTCTCGCCCCATAACCCCATCGCCCCTCGCAGGCCGGGGGGTACTCACGAGACTGCGCTCTACTCCCCCCCTCCCCCCTCCGGGGGAGCCAATCATCACAGCAGCGGCGTGGGGGTAAGGACAGACAGGCGAGGCGAGAGAAAAGGAGACGGAAGGATGAGGAGAGACAGAAACGAGAGAGGGGAGAGAGGAAAAGAAAAAAACAATTTTATGTCCGGTTCCCGGACCCACTGCCGCTTGGTCCTCAACCGGCTGAGAGGCTCTCACTCGCGGTGCCATGCGAACGGCCCACCGTTCCTCCGCCTCCTGGGGGATGGCGATGGCTCCTCCTATTGAGGGCAGTCGGCAGCGAGTCCTCTGTTCCCTGCTCCTCCCCAATCATGGCGGATGGCAGCAGGCTCCGGCCTCCTACACTCCTCCATCCCCTCCCGGACGGCAGCCACCCCTCCTCGACCCAGGAGCACAGCAGCGAGCTTTCCGTCCCACCTCGTCTTCCCTCGTTCCAGCACCACCGGCTCGGGCAGCCACCGGCTGTCTCTCCGCTTGTTCCTGCTGCCCGATCTCCTCAGCACCGCGAACCCCCTCAGCAGCGAGGGCTCTTGACAGCGTGCTGTCAATTACTCCACCGGCCTCGCTCCGTTCCCACGGCTCTTGTCTCCACCCCTCTCATCACAATATGCTTGGTCCATCTCTCTTTCTTTTTTTTTTTTTTTTTTT